ATAAATGATCCACATCACTTATCATGTTAAATAGCATTAATGAAGACTATAACTCATACCACACAACTTAGGTCTATGAGCCATAATCCATCCCAATGGTCCATATATTTAACCAATCATTCACATAGTATCACTTAACCACCAAAACCATTTATTAGCCATCATTAGGCTAATTTTCAATTTATATAATTTTTTATCAATTAAAAACCTTCACTTAGTGTCACCAACTTTCACCATTAGCCCTTATAATGAAAACCAAACCTTAATTTAAATCTTATTGGGCTCAAATAGAAAAATTATAACTAAATCAATAAGCTTAAACCATTGAAGAGCAAAAACCCAATTTCTCAAGGTTTATTTTGTGCTCAAAACACCTCTTTTCATCCAATTATCCACTCAAAACATTAGATCACTATATAGAAACTCAAAACATGCTCCCTAAGATCCAAAGAAATAAAAGCTTACAAGAATAAAGCCTTTGGGATCAAAATCTAAAAATTTTATCTTCTAAAAAATTGAAGAAAATCAAGAGAAAGAAAAGAGAATTGAAGTAGGGAGTTTACCTATTGTGTAGCCGAGCTCGCAACGATCGCGAAGACTCCTAGATCCAAGCCTAACTCTCTCCCTTTCTCTTCTCTTCTTCCTCTCTCCCTCTCGTGCGTTTCCTTTCCTTTCCTTTCTCTGTGTTTCTGCGTCTCTTTTCCCCTTATAAAAGCTGATCTAAAAGTTTGGGGAAAATTACAAGAAATGGCCCAACATTTTTTATTATTGCACAAAGCTCGGGTTAAATTTGATAATTTTTTCTATAGTTAAAAATCAAATAAAACTAAACTTTTACTTAGTAAAATTTAAACTCTGAGCCTCTATTAAATTATTTTAAATTTTAATTTAATTATAAATATTTTATTTTATTTTTTTTAAATTCGAGTCTTAAAATTTCGGGATGTTACACTCTTTAATCTTCTTACCTTAATTCTTAGTTTTAAGCTTGAGAGGGAAATGTTCAAAGAGTTATTATTTAAAGACATTCACAAAGACAACGCTAGCAAAGTCAAAAAAAAAATAATTTGTGGCTAAATTAAGCTAGAATCAAGCTCCTCCTATGTGTAATAAAATCAAGCTTCTATTTCATTGGCATTATTTTCATGAATGTCTTTATATAAAAATTCTTTGAATCTTTTTTTTAGAGCTACAACTGAGAATGAAGGCAAGAGGATTGGAGATATTGACACGTGATTCTCATAAGTCTAAAAATAAACGATATTTGGTCAAAATTAATGGGACGGTATTCGGTGATTTATTTTTTTATAGCATAGGCTATGCAGTACTCTTGAAAAAATAGTTCGTATTTAAATTTACACCTTTACATATACTAACATGGAGTGTCACATGTTATTGTGAGCCTTACATAACATCTATTAATAGAAGTTAATGATGAGTTATTGGATGCTCTGTTGTTAAAAGTTGAGAATTTATTTTGCACCACCTAATATTTTAGGCTATCAGATACCAAAAAAGTAGTACGCGGCTAAATTTTCTATCTTACCCTATATTTTTTAATGGAAGAAGTATAAATAAACTAAAACAGTATTTTATTTACATATTATTTGGATGAAAATAGTATTTTAAATATCTTTTCCAATACTTATAGTTTCATTCAATTTTAAATTGGGTCCTTCATTTTATTTTTTTTAATTGGGCCCCTTAAAGTTTGATCAATTAAATTTTTTAATCCCTAAAGATTAAAGTCATTAAGTTTATTCTTAAAAAAAATTAAGAACTTTTATATTGTTATTAAATGATTATATGACTTTAAAACTAATTACATAATTTTTATAACTAAAAACTTATATAATTAGGTTGTCTTCTAAATACTTTTATACATATGGAATTTCATAAAAATTAATAAAATATAAATCACATATTAAATTAAATTTTCTTTTTTTATTCTGCCTAAATGTATTAAATTAAATTTTCTATAAACTCCAAGAGTATTTTTGTTTTATAAAATTTAATAATTTATTATTAATTTTAATTTTTAGGGGTTAAAATATATAATAAATCAAACTACAATGGTCTGATTAAAATAAATTAAAATGTAAGAATTTAATTTAAAATTAAGTAAAACTGTAATGACTTATAGATATATTTTTCCTATATATATAAATGCAAGGCTGTATAAACTGTTAAGCTAATTTGGCAGTTGCCTTAGGCCTCCAAAAATATTTACCTATATTATATATATGATTGGCCATTATTTTTCCCCTTTATGTATTAATGTTAATTAGAGTTAAATGAAAAAAATACCTTGGGACTTTTTTCTTTAGAGGATCATTCTAAACTTTGGAGCATTTTTAATTCAAAAGTTTAAAAAATAAAGCATTTTTACCACACTGTTAAAAATTGCAAACTTTGACTATTAACTGAAATTTGATAAGGGTATTTTATGATTTTACCCTTCTTTATTTTTACACCTTTTGTCTTAGTTTTCATTCATGTGAAGAAGAAAAATTAAAGAATTCATTGGAAAACAAAATTGGAGACTAAACATTGAAGGAAAGAGGAAAAAATAAAAAAATATTCTTTATCAAACTTCAATTTAATGATCAATGCTCACGATTTTTAACAGTGAGGTAAAAATGTTCTGTTTTTAAAAATTTTGAGACAAAAATGTTTCAAAAAAAAGTTTAAAATATCAGATGTCCTTGTAGAAAAAAGCTTCAAAACATTTTTGCCCTTTACCCCTTGTTAATTATATAATTTTATTTTAAAATAGGAGTTTTGCTGTAAAACAAAAAATATCAGTTATGATCTCAAGTATGAATCATATCATGTGTGTTTGTTCTTCTTTTAATTTTTATTTGAAATTGTGATCGTTTTAAATTTTTTTATAGGATTTGAAGTGGCAAAAATGTTAAATAGAAAATTTGAATTTGTCTTTAATAAATTGAAAAATTAATTATGAAAATAGATGAAAAACAATATATTAGGTCTCTTAAATAATTTTATCTTAGGTCCTAAAACTCCTTCACACAATCCTGCATAAATGACAAATAACGATAAATCATCGTCATTTCCCCACCTCAAGATAGTATTGCACTTAAAAACATATGACAAATTTCACATAATTAGGCATAGGGATTATTCGCAATTTTCATGAAATTTCAGTCAGTGTAGCCTCGGTGCAAGATGTGTGTGAGCCAGGTGGAAGTTAAAAGGAGGTCGTGATCATAATTGTTATAAAGGCATCACACGCGCACATATGCGTGTAGCTTTAATTTATTTCTCCATTTAAATCTTAAGGCTTTTGCCGTTATAATCTACATTATAAGATTAAATCAGCAAAATAATTTAATATTTATGATTGATTTATTATATTTATTAATGGTATATTGTTGTACAACTAATGATAAATCCTAATAAATTTTTAAATTTTTAATAATAAACTCATTATATATCAATAATAAGCTTATTGTATATAAATAATAAACCTTTTATATATCAATGTGAATTGGCTACAATTTTAAATTTTTAAAAATTTGATTCATATTTTTTAGGCACAATATTTTTTTAAATATCATTTAAGAGTTGACTTTTATTTTTTAATATTTTTTAAGAAGAATTACAATCAAATACCACACAAAGAAATTAATTACCACAAGATCTATTGATAATTGAACTTCACACCATTGATAACAATTGTCAATAAATCTTATAATAATTAATTTTTTTATGCAAGAGTTCAATGTAATTCTTACTATTTTTTATGTTAGAATAGTTAATATAAAACACATTATGAAACAAATTTTTCATTCCTTTTCAACAACTAAAAACTGTTTTTAAAAACAGTAATACAAGCTTCAGTAAAATCTCAAATACCTTTTCACATTGGAATATTGCAGAATCAACTCTCACTCTCCCGTAGATTATATACTAGCTGATCCGATCCTGTTACGCCCACACCCACCCATAGTCGCTCATCTATCTATATCTAAATGCGCGCATTGATGAAGAACAGGAAACTATCGTTTGACTAAAAAATCTCATTATTCTTGATAAAGGATTTTGCCTGCGGATTAAACCCCTCTTATCCGAGTTCGTCATCAGCAAAATAGCACGACGCAACGATTGTCAACACCTCAAGGCAACTACATAGTTGCTTCTGATTTTGTTGGAATTACAGTGCACTGATGTCAATCTTGAAGCTGTTGGGACTTACTGTCACCCAGTTCTTGATATTGCTACTTGCTAACATTTAAAGATTAATCACTTGAAGTGAGGATGGGGATGGTGGGCCCTGGGCCAAAAAAAAAAAAAAGAAATTGAAAGTTGTAGTCCACTCTGCGGGGAAGAAGATGGGAGGTGTTAATTTGTTTGGGAAAAGTACCTTTTCATACTAAGTCCTATCCCTTAAGACAAGGAGTCGAGGACGTTGATGCCATCGCGACCCTTCCTTTTCCATGCACGGACGAATCTGTTAAATCTCTCAGTACTGTCCTTCCTCCTTCCAGTTCATGCGAACAAATGCTCTTCCCCCTTTACGTCACGCTACGCTTGGACGATCATGGGCACTAATCAATTCTCTCACATGCCCACTTCAATGTATCCACTCTCATCCACACACTTCCCTCTAATGACCTCCACAAATCTACTCCTGACTAACCAACCCTTGTTTCAGTTTCCGTTCCAATTCATGTTTAACCAATTAAGAATGAGATAGCTTTTGCCCAAGGTAACTATTAACACGAATCATGTATATAGTTTTACAGATAACAAGGGACAGAATGAGGCAATCTCTTGTCAATCAGATAAAGGCGTGAAAGAGTTGTGTTAGTCAACAAAAAACAAAAGGGAATAATGAGAATGGCCTTATCATAGCCATATTCCCGTGCAATTTGCTGCTCCAGCAACGGCCGTGCCCACAGGCTTTTAAGAGACACAAACAACCTTTCAGGGCTCCGCGAGCCTCATGAGGACCATTGAAATTCCCAGTTAGCTACAATGATATAGTGCAAGGTAAAAAAAAAATGGAGGGGAAGAAAAGACAAATATTTCAGAATATATTGCACAACACCACCACTTGCTTCTTTTCTACTTTACACACTGGAGCAGATAGGCAGATCCGATATCAGAACTGATTATTCTGACCTCTTTCGCCCTCCCTACTGCTATAAATACTCTGCCCATTAGCCTCTTCTCATTCTCAAATTGAATACTACCTGACTTCTTCGTGTGAGCTTTCAGGATATGCATGTCTGATCTCATTCTTATAGTATTGCATTAGATCCTTACTGGTCTTTCTCGTCGGGTTTTTCTCACGCTTTAGAGTCCAACTCTATCAAAGATAGGTTGATCACCATGAACATCCCCAGGGTAATGAGCAGAAATGTAACACAACCCCAGATCAATAGTCCTTCCAGCGGTCGAAAATTGAATCCGATCAAGCTTCCACGGCAGAAAGAGAAGGTAGTGGTGGTCATGGGAGCCACCGGCACCGGAAAGTCCAGGCTCTCCATCGACCTCGCCACCGTTTTTCATGCACAGATCATCAACTCCGACAAAATGCAAGTCTACGAAGGCCTCGACATAGTCACCAACAAAATCACCAAGGAAGACCGGCGAGGGGTGCCTCACCATTTGTTAGGAACAGAGAGCCCCTACTCAGAGTTTACAGCCTCCCATTTCCGTGACGCGGCTTTACTTGCCATCGAGTCAATTACGTCTTGCGGACAGCTTCCGATCATCGTAGGAGGATCCAACTCGTATATTGAGGCACTAATCGACGACTATGACTACAAATTCCGATCTAGGTATGATTTCTGTTGTCTCTCTGTAGATGTGTCAATGCCCGTACTCGATCAATATGTGGCCAAACGGGTTGATCAGATGTTGGAGAATGGAATGGTGGATGAGCTGAGACCACTTTTCAATCCAAAGGGCGACTACTCGCGAGGGATTAGAAAAGCTATTGGAGTTCCTGAGTTCGATCAGTATTTTCGAAAGGAATCGTTTATCATGGATGAAGGAATCAAGCAAAGGTTAGTGGAGGAAGCGGTGAATGAAATGAAGAAGAACACGTACAAATTGGCACGTAAACAATTGGGGAAGATTCACAGGCTGCACAACGTGAAGAGATGGAAAATTCAACGGCTAAACGCGACAACCGTGTTCTGCAAGCATGGGGAAGAAGCAGAGGAGGCGTGGAAGAAAAAGGTGGCAGAGCCGAGTGCGAGGATGGTCGCCAGGTTTCTTTTCGATTTTCCCTCTGCGAACGTTGGCGCTGGCCTTAGACTATGCTCACCATCGGCCCTGAGAAGCGCCATGGCGACGGCAACGTGCGACGGCTACGTGCTGACTGCTGGATACCCACGTCTCTCCATCTTCTGAGTTTATCCTATCTGCTGCGGTTACGATTTACAATTCACCCACCCATGTTAATATTTATTCTGTACTTTTTTGACTAGCGATAATATTTAATATGTACAATTGCCAATGGAAACTTTTTCATAAATAATTATCAGCAAAATTAAGCTGTAACCTATAATGTCTAGGACATTAATACACACCTAACCACAATGTTTTAGGCTAATCAAAAGATTAAGAAAGGTATCAAAAGAAAGCAAGGATCAACCTTGATTATTTAAAGATTTAAAATATTAATTTAAGAATACCTTTAAGCAAATAGGATCTGAAAATAATTTAAGTTTGGAAACAAGTAATTAAGGCCATTTAAAAACTTGAAATCAGAGCACTGATAATTACTAAAGCATAGAAATTAGTTTGAGCATTTAAACAAGTCAAATAAGGTTAAAAAGCTCATTTTGGCAAAAACAGAGCGGTTTGCCGCAGCATACTCAAACGACCATGCCCACTTCAGCCAACTAAGCATTTCACCACAACCCACAAAATTATCAATAATAGACATGACAGTAATGACAGCTCTTGATTTTCAATTTTTAGGATGTTTAACTTTCAACTCCAGCCTCCATTTAAGGTAATTCAAACACTCATGCGAAAATAATTAAACTATTTAATGGCACTAATCTTACCTCAATCTGGTGTCATATGAGTGTTTCGAACACTTGGTACTAAAACATACATGTTATTCCTTTTCTCCAATCAACTTAGTGCCATCAAACACTCACTTTACCAATAGTCACAACAACCAAGCAGCATATTCCACAATCACAATATGCATGCTTAAAATACACCAGTTGTACAATCATAATTAATCATACACTTGCATATTTGATCTCAGCTCAAAAACATAAGAGGCCATTAAACAAAAATGCCCCGGGTCTACAAATAGGATTACATGCAAGTGATAAAATGGTTTAACAAGGCAAGTATGATATTCAATTTCACAAAAGCAAAGCTACCCCAGAGACTTCACAAAACAAGCTATGCGCCTCTAGTGTCAAATGCCTCTTCCTTATTCTTGCCCTTTTGGAAAAGTAGTAATACATAAGAATGAGATTATACAATTTTAGTAACCAAACAATGAATTAGAGCATATTAAAGTGACTAAGTGAGGCAAACAAAACCAAGTAAAGCGTAACTTTACACTTAGCATTTCATATAATAACAACAACGCACTTATAAGATTTGTCCACATGATCAAATACAACTATCTTATTTTTCTCCTTATATCATTTGATTGAAGTACATATGTTACTATCATATAGGATTAACCCATGTGATTGAACTAATTTTGCTTTTCAAGTCACTCGACCAAAGGTTTTCATACTCATTATTAGACTATGGATTTTCTCTCCTAGAAACATGGGGTGTCAAAATCTCCCGACCTACACCCTTCTTCTTAGGAATTGATGATACCGAGCATCGTACCTTGTTCATATCATATGTCTAGGTTAATGATAATACTAAGTATATATAATTAATAATATATACTAGCTACTTTGCCCAACTCTCAGTGGAGACTACACCATGTGTATTTCCAATATCATTCTTTTCTCTCTCTGTGGCGAACTCTTACTAATCTATGATTATACAAGTTCAATTCATATACAATGACATAGTTATAACATATTCAATTCAACTTAACAAAAAAACATGAACTTGCACTAATTATTACATACTCAAACTTAGATCATCATATAACACATGTTATCACCAATAATAACATCATTCCAACATATTCAAGACTTCATCGCTCATGACAATAACTTATATTCATAGATGATCATGTTCAATACATTAGCACATAATCCATGCCATAAACATATCAACTCGTAGTTTGCAAATACAATTATATATTAAAAATAAACTCTCAATTACCTTAACTCTTGGGGTTTACACCCCTAAAAGTATAGTTTGGATTTCTTGAGGGAGCTTCCCATCATCACAAGCTAAAAAAACAATCAATCTATAATTAATGACGACAAACAACATTAATGACTAATTATTATTAATTAACCTTTAATCATGATCAATGCCTAATCCCTCAATATGAATGATTAACTAAAATCAATCACATTTCTCACTCTCATCAATTTATTTAACATCCAATGACCTAAATAAACACCGTTAGCTAACTTTATTAGTTTAAACCAACTTATTTAGCATTAGAATTAATCTTAAACCTATCATTATCCCTACCATTACCCTAAACCAATGACTAAAAATGTAAATAACCCTTATCAGTGTTAGAGGAATCGATAGAACATCACTCAAGATTCAGGCAGGATTTCAACACCCCTTGAACCGACAGAAAAATGCATGAATAGGGTAGGAGAAAGAGGGAAGAAGCTTACATAAAGATTATATAGCCTAAAACTACCTCCAAGCTTCCCCAGTAGCGAACCTTAACAGAGCTCAAGCCTTCCTCATGATTTCTCTCAAAATTCCTTCTTGTTTTATTGTTTGAAATGCGTCTTTGATATTTGAAATTTTGATGCATCCATCATGGTCAAAGGACTGTCCGCTGTGATGAATGACATAATTTAGAAATCCTAACTTAGGTCCAATACTTTAGGTCAAAAGTGGTCCAATAATTCCCTAAGCCCTATTCTAAGCCCCATATAGGGTCCAAGAGATCTAAAAGTCCATATAAACTCCTTAATTAACTCCTAATTACTTTAATTAATCAATTGAACCTCTCTCTTGATTTAATTAATCCTTAACTTAAATTTTGGGACTAACACATAAGTCCTTATAGTTTTTTTTCACAATTTTAAATTAGGCCTTTGTAATTTATTTTGTTCAATTTTGTAATTTATAGTTTGATCAAATATTAGTCCCTAAAAATTTAAAATTATTTAATTTTTTCCTTTTAAAAATTAAAAATTAAAAATTTTATATTTTTATTAAAAGATTATATAATTCTAGAATTAATTACATATTTTTATAACTTTAATTTTATATAATTAACTCCCATCTTCTAAATAATCTCTCAACATATAGAGTTTTCATAAAAAAATTGTTAAAATTAAATTCTCACTAATTTTATTTATAAGTCACTTTCAATATTTTTACCAGAATCAAAAAAAATTTTAAATCTCACTAACTCTACCTAAAAATTTAACAAATTTTTAACTTTACTACTATTAAATATACATACTTTAAAGTTAAATACTCTAGCATTTAACTACCTTCCTAATATTTAATAGGGATAAAAGGGTAAAGATAAACACGATAATAATTGAGGTGCCCTATAAACATGATCAAAACAAATACTCTCTTAGCCTCATAAGTAGGATTAGGAGCATAATTATTGTATTAACTCATAATTTCTTTTTTCATTTTTAGCTAAAATCATTAAATCAAATTTTCTATAAATCTTAAAAGTGTTTTTTGTTTCAAAAAATTTAATTATTCATTATAATTTTAAACTTCAAGGACTAACATATTTAATCGATCAAATATAAGAATTTGATTGAAACAAAATAAATTATAGAGATCTAATTTAAAATTAAGAAAAATTAGAAGGGCTTGCATATTAATTTTTTTTTTATAATTATCCGTGAAAGTTGAATTCAGTGAAAAGTGATGCAAACTTCTTTATATTAGGAACTACCCATTGCAAGAGCATTGAAACAACAAGAAGCAATGCAACATAACAAAACACCTCCAAATGCAAATAATAGTATTACATGAAGACCGAAATTCTCAAAAATTGGTATTCATAAATTTATGCAAAGTATTTTTTCTTATTTTATTATTTTTATAAAATATAAAACATTCTCCCTTTTTTAAAAAGATAAATTTCAAGAAATTTACAAATTTTTTATTGTAAAAGGAGGCTTTGTGCATCGACTACAGTTGGGGTGAATGATGTAAGTTTTCATTATTTAAACAAGTGACTCGGGGTTTGAAACTCAATCTTCATACATGTATAGCAATTTAATTGGAATATGCTTACTTATCGCTCTCAATATTTCAGGAAATATATTTTTTACTACCAAAAGGACCTATTACTTATACTTACAAAAAAGAAAAACAGGAAGCTTTGTCTTGAAAAGATGCAGCGAAAACGGTTTTGAGATGGAATGGATACTGTTCGCAAGACTTTGTTTCGTAATCATACCCCTTGCAAGCTGAGGGATGACCTCCCATGCTTGAAGTTGAAGTGGCTGCACCACCTCGCTCCTCAACTGAACCTTTTTTTTTTTGGTAATAAAAAAATTAACTCCTTAATAATCCTTCACAAATAATTCATTAAATACAAAAAATGTTAAAAATGCATCATTTCCGGTGCGAGGCACCGGATGGACATGTACAAACTTGGTCACAAAACAACCACGCGCACACGCGTACCACGTCTCCATTACCTCGGTTCTGCATCTAATTTTAAAAACATTTAATTATTTTTTTTTATTTTAAGAAATGACTAATGAGTAATAAGTGAATGGTCCAAGCAGAATAATTTCTTTTAATGAATGCATAAATGCCTTTTGTATTTCATCTCCATGGTATTGCATTTTTGGACCCATTCTGTATTTTTGTTAGCTTGGATTCCCGTATCGGTCCAAAAGTTAACAGTTGACCAGCGCTTTGACCATTCAAAACTGCGGTGGTCGTCTTTGACCAAAGGGGGGGGGGACAAGGGTCGTAGTCCAACTGCATCATTCCATATATGTAAAAATTAATTTGTAATTATAAAAAAATTCGTATATTTTCAAAATTTTGAGATAAACTATTTAAATCATGTTACTTGCTGCGAATTTCATAAATATATCAATTTTTGTCATGGCGATGTCAAACTTGTATAGCATTCAAATTGTGAAAAGAGTTAATGGCATGTTTGGTTTCGTTTCATATATTAAAAATAAAAATTGTTTGGCGTTCTCAACTGAAGGAATTATATTTTTACGGGTAATATAAAATTATAAGAAATATATTATTTAAAAATATTAAATGATATAAATCATCTTAAATTGCATGCAAATCACATGTTTGTACGCTTTCAAGTTATCATAAACGAAATTAACATAAACAAACGTAATCTCTACACCCAATTCACATAATAATGGTGGAATTTATTTATTTATTTTAGTTTTGAATTCTTAAGTCTTAACATCGCCTCATAAATTGTCTCATTTTCACTTTGGTAAGCTAATATCTTATTTCTTTATTTATAAGTACAGGAGATGAGGATTTTTTATCCTACCTAATTAAAGGTTATGTTAACTTCTTATTATAAAATTTGTCCTTTATTTTCTAGTGAGAGAAAATATGTCACTAAAATATATGTTCCCTCTGGTCAAGTAATTTTTAGAAAAAATTTTTTTAAATTAATAAAGTTCTTATTTTCATAAAAATATACTCCTTAGTCTTAATTATCAATTCACTTCATGATGAGTAAAGGATAAATTTGCATAAGGATATGGTGAAATAGGAATTTTATTTTATTTTACATGTATTAGGTTCCTTATACACTTTAAACTACAATTAATTGAAAAAAATGCTTATATTTTAAATCAGAGTATATATATAATAGGAGTAAAATTTAAAATTTATTAAATTTTTATATAGATTTAATGAACTTTAAGACGTTTGTTATTTTCAATAGTACATATTAGAAGTGATTTATTTATAGCATTGGATGGATGTGACAGAGATTAGACATTTAACTTGCGCTCCCCGGGAGGACAATTGCAAGTTTTTGTTGATGTCTTTCATGTTAAAGACGAATTAAGGCAAATCTGGTGAGTTGAGTAGATAATCAGACAAACCATAATCTCGACCGCAGAAAACACCCAAGTTAGTGCACAGCAGCTAAACAACCAGAAATAAATACAAGCAATCAGGAAATATGAGCATAAATTAAAGCTTGATAATCAAACACAAAGTCACAGACTAGTAGACTGCTTTTCACGGTGGTCAATTAAGATGTGATCAAATGGGTCCTCCGCAGGAATAAGTAACATTACAGAAATCTCCAACGGTGACCGTGTACTGATGAAGAGGCCTGACAAGGAAAGGAGGCAAGTGAAGCAGAACCTCACACACACACTGGCTATCCACCTCCCTAACCCATCTGCAACAGTTCTCTTCTTGACTAGTGTGGTGGTGATGGTGATGGTGATGGTGTCGGTGTCGGTGTCGGTGCCCGTGCCCGTGTCCATGTCGGTGTCGGTGGCTATGGTCGTCGTCTCGCGAGGGAGGAGAGGGAGGCGTTCCTGGAGTGAAAGGAAGCCTTACACAAGCATAGTTTGCGAGTGCATATTGAGATGCACAAAGTGGCCTAGGCTCTGTTGGTGCCCCAGTGTGCTGGCTCTCCATCTTCGGCACTAATGCCAGCAACGCCACACCCACTATTGTCAATAAATTTGTAACCTTCACTCTCTCCATCTCAAGTCTCTTTCTCTCTCACGTTAATGCATCAGAGCCAGGAAGTTTTTTAATGTTCGCATTTCATATGGCCTCCTTAAACCTGCTTAAATACTCACATGGTCACAAGCTTCCCGGCTCCATGAGATAGGGCTTAAAAATCGAACTACCGTGTTTCATTCAATTTGTGTGATGACTTTGTAGGTGAAGTGCAAAATTATTCTGTATGGGTTTTGCACTTTGCATCAACTACCTTGTTCCTGAACCGCAACAGAAGTTTTACCCAGTTATTCACATGCTGTCCAAGAGCGTGAGAGAAATGCCAACGATATTCAGCAGAAATCAGTAGCGTGACCCAATTGAAGTACTTTGCTGGCAACTGGAAGAGATTAAAGAGAGTGAGAGAATGAAAGAAAAAAATGTTAAAAAATGTTTTCATGTGAATGCTTGCATTGCAAGTATAACTTCTAGCGAATGTTTCTATTCTACTTCCCTAGGTCAATTCTTTTATTCCTATTTTGGTTGTTGGAATAAAACAAAATGGTACATCAGGGAAGAAATGTCTTCTTCATTTTCGGTTCACGAAAATGTTTTACGGCGTTGGACATTTTCTCTTGGAAGAAGAAAAGAATTTTTGTTTCTATCTTCACATTAGCCATATTGAAATTGAGATATCTAAAAATTCCTGGCACTATTTATTTGCCTTTTGTCATTCTAGTTATCACTTGGCTGGTTCACTTTCTTTTCTATTTTTCAACACAGGTAGGCGGGTGTTCTTAGTGGCGAGGTGATGCTGATTTTTTGAGTTTAACTTTTAAAAGAAACAAGAAAGAAAGGAGGAAAAAATCTACGTTTTCTGAATGATCCTATCGTTCCCTGCGGTATCGAACAGTGAATTCAGGACTTTTCATTGGGTACATCTTAGTTTAATTTCCTAGGCTCACAGACTTTTTCATCCAATGTGGAAAATTTTAGTAAGCAGGGATGTGCATTTTCTGGAGGTTTAACAATGGAACTGGAAGGAGGAGAGGCAAGATTAACTTATAGATGTTCAGCAACATTTTGATCAGCGTGATGGTCAATGTGGTGCGCAAACTATTAGGGGCACCAAACATCCTATGATATATATATATTTTTTTAACACGTGCCAGACTACTCTCAGCGACATAACAGAGATGTGACGTTGCTGTTTTTGAACCTGAAAGCAATACAGAGGCCTCGGCCAAAAAAAGAAAGCAATATAGGCAGGAGCAGACCCAATTCAAATATTGATATACTGCAACAATAGAAGAGCTCTCCATGATTGAGAGGATTGAAGCCTGGGAGCTGGTGAAAAGAATTCAGAACAGGAGGGTGATTGGAGTTACATGGATCTACAGAACTAAGCTACATGCAAATGGCTCAATCGACAAGATTAAAAGCAAGAGTTGCTGTTAGATGAGATGCACAGGTTTTTGGTGTTGCTAAATCAAAAGAACTTCGCCCCAGTATCAAGGCTAGACACGATCAAACTGCTCTGAAGAGTGTAGAAGATTTATCAGTTTGATGTCGAGACTAATTTTGACTTCTAATGGCTTTCGGCTGTGGGAAATCTATATATAGAGCAACCGAAAATATTTATTATATATGCAGGGAAAAAAAGATCAGGTACATTTACTGAGAAAAAGCCCTTTAGAAGTTAAAAAAGAAGCTCTAAGATTAAGGATGCGTCCACCAAAAAAAAAAAAGTCTTCGTATAGCAGAATTGATGGGCATTTGTTGTGGGTTTAGGCTTCCGAAACAACCCCAAGTGAAACAACTCCGTAGGTTGATCAAATTAAGAGGTTCCGAAAATTTCTTTACATGTTAACCACAGTAAGCAATGTTAGGTTAATTGAAAGCTTAAAGGCTTGAATGGAAAGTTCAAGGACCTCAGGAAAATGTCCTATTTTCTTGGGAAATGGAAATTCAACAAGCTCGAAATGAATGGTTCAGTGAATCAAAAGAAGATGCTGCAAAGAGACGGGAGGTCAAGAAAGATAGACAAAGGAGCTCATAGAAGTAATAAATCAATAATAGTCCGAGACACGATTCAGGATTATCTCTCTGTCACGACATATCAATAGTAGCAGATACGGGAAGTAACAAATCATTCCCATTCTTTTGCACATGTGGATCGCCGACTTATTGTACACAAGCAGTAACCCTGAAGAGATATTAATATTACTGTTTACTGTCAGTGTCTCCACTGATCATCTCATGGGTAGAGTGTGGGAGCCGAACTCTTGGAATTTGGAAAGCCTTTGATCAGGATTAAGGAAAAAAAAAAAACTGGAAATGGAGAAACCGAGTCGTGAGGATCTTGCTGAACAAGAACGGATCATGGAAGAAGTTCTTATTTTTCTTCTTACAACTACTTGAGTTCCAGAAACACTGCGGGCGACTTGGTGCTGCACAGCTGTAGGCTTTCTTTCTTTCTTTTTTTCCAATTAAAATTATGGTTTTGGTGCGTTTGGTTTCTGTTCTCATTTAAAAAAAAAGTTGTTTTATAATAAAATTTTTAAAATTATTTTTGAAACAAAACAAAATAAAATTGCTTAGTTATATTAATTAAAAAAATAATTTTACAATTAAAAAATAGATTGATAGTGATGATTATAACTTATAAACAGTTAACGAGCATGATTAATAATAGCAATTAGTTAAGGTAATTATAATTTTTAATAATCAAATATAATGTATTTTAAAAATAAGAAAAACAAAATAAAACAATTTAAAATTATTTTTTTGTTTTAAAAAAGAAAATAATTTTAAAAATAAATAAATAAAAAATATTTATCCAAACAATTTTTTTTTATTTTTAAAAATTTAAAAAAAGACAAACAAGCTCAAATTTTTCGTTCTTTTTCCTTAACTTTCTGTTGTCGAGAAACGATATGGACTGTGTTGCCCTAATAAGAGAATGTGACTGGTTGACCTCTGTTTCTTCGTAACACTAACAGCATGACGAGTTTGTTTCATCATAGATTATGTTGTGACTTGAGTCATGAAGGTTGGCCTCTCACGCGGGTTCAAATCACGGTGATTTTCCAGAAATACTCAACACAATCTTACGCGTTCAAATTGATGGTTGGATGAAGGATTTAGGTTTCATTTACTTAAAAGAAATTGAATGAAATGAATTAAGAAAATCAAAATAAACATTAATAATTTATTCTTTTCTTTTATGATGAACATGATAAAACTTATTAATATATATTATAAATATAGTAATTATTACACCTTTTAAAAATTTTATGAATTATAATTCTCAATCTAATAAATTAATTATCCTTTTTCTTTATAAATATGATTCATTTATCTATTTTAATTATTTTATTTTTATTTTTATTTTCAATTCACTCCATCCCAATCTTTTTTATCAACCAAAAGAACCCTTGAAACCGAATTGCTAAGCTGGAAGGTATGCCAAACAAAATAAACACGAAACCTTGCCAACAGAAGGCGTTCAAAATTCAATTACTCTACTCGGCGGATTTGGATAAAAAGTTGGCGAGAAGTGCTTTGGATAGAGAAGCTCATTCAAAGTGAAGTTATAAATATGAGCTTTGAAATGCTGGGTTCAAATGCAAGCTAATATTTAATGCTTTTCAAGTTTTTGTCAACTTCTCTCTTTTAGTGAGTGTTTGATTTTTAATTTATTAAAAATTTATTTAACAAAAATAAATTTAATGAAAGTCAATTATTATAATAAAATTTATATTTAAATATATTTTTTAAAAATTAATTAGGTAAATTGAAAGTTGTTTGAATTATTATAATAAAATATTCTTTTAAATATATAATTACAAAAAATGACATTAATTTATGATGATTTATAATTTTTATTATATAAATATAATATATTTAAAATATTTAAAAAAATATAATAAAAATTTTAAATAATATAAAATTTAATCTATAGTGTTAAAAACTTGATTTCTAATTATTTGTACCTTTTCAATTTATAATTTCAAAAAATATAATAAATATTTATTTTTATTATATATTAATGCTAAAAATTAATATAATTAATTATTCAATTTATAATGTTAAAAACTTAATATGTAATCATTATTATTTTAATTAGAATTATATATATTAATAAATTAATTATTTTTTAAATTAAACAATAAGGGATTAAATTTAAAATACTATAATCAAGTAATATCTTATTTTTTAAAATTTACTGGATAAGACTTTAAAATTTTCACATTTGATCTCATTTCAAAAGTTCTTTTTAAAAATTTTTTTATTCTTAAAATATTATTTTAAACGGCTTTTCACATTTCAAAAATAAAAAAATACTTTTAAAATGTAAAAAATTAATTTACCAAACAGTGTCTTAATTCTTGAATTCATAGATCTTGCTTCTTTAATGGGAAAAGGTATCTTTTTTTTAATTTCCTTTATTATATTTATTTTATTGTCACACAAAAAACTGTTTTAAGCATTTTATGGCTTTATTGTCTTGCATTATTGTGCATAAAATCTTTTTACTTAATTATTTATTTCACAAATAATTATTTTTATGCACGAAACTTATTTTTTTGGATTTTTTTAATTCAAATATTTATATTTTATTTAAAAATATTAAATTAGTCACAAAAATATATATACCATAAAATTCTTGTTTTTTGGTCACTATATATTTAAATTGACTTTTGAATTATGTCATTCGAAAAAATTTAAATTTTCCTAAATAATTTTTAAAAAAGTTTCCAGACATTAATTATATTACAATCATATACTTCTTCATTTACTTGGTTACTTCAATTCTGCTTTAATTCGAGAGGCAACAGTTGTAATGACATGTTGATCTTTTTTTCTATGGTTATCCTTATCTACTTTCTTTTGAGTTGTAAGATTAATTTCTATCCTTTTAGTTAATATATTCATTTGACTTACTTTCGAAAAAAAAATCGCAGATTTCTTTATGTAATTTCGGTTTTGATATTTTTAATTCAAACACATCCTATTTGCCTAGTCCAACTACAACCGATCGTGATTCAACGCATCAGATCAATCCACGTGGTTGATGAAACAGC